GACAATGCTCATGTCTGTTTATGCTTGTTTTTGTTCATTTGAAGTACCGTACTGTTTTTGTATCGACTTGTTCAAATAAAATTGTCTAGATGACCAGGGTCGTCTTTTATTTGAAACAATGTTCCACTTAATTGGTAGGAATAAAATAAAAAGAAGCAGCTTTCAAACTATTTCAGATATTCTACTTTAACTACTCTTTGCTTAATCAAATATTGGTAGTATTTCATTTGTACTGCACTCAGAACTGTGCTGAGAAATATGGATGTAAATATTGGGTTCCTGCCCTATAGAGCTTTCAGCCTAAGGCCCTGATCCTGTAAAGACTTTATGCACTGAGAGTACGGGGTAGTTCTGTTCATTTCAGTGGGACAACTCTATGTGTAAAAAGAAGCATGTAAGGCAAAGATTTAATTAGGGACAGGGCACAAGAGAAATCAAAAACCAAGGTAAGGAGAAGAGAGGAATCCTAACAGGATTACAAGCATAAGTTTCTTTCTTTGAAGTGGCATCTAAGATGACTCTAAACTTTGGGAACCTTCTGGAAAACAGTGCTCTTTGGAGAAGGCTATACAAATGTTATGCAGCCCCAACCACCTCACTTGCTTCCTTGCTGCAGTTGGGGCTGGACTTTGCCTCCATTGACCTCTCCATGTCTCGGGAAACTTCTAGCATTTTGATCCAAACTCTCTTAATTTTTAGTCCTGCCTTATAATTACTCTGGTTCATTAACTAGTCTATAAAGGTACATCCAGTGCAGGTCACAACAGCTGAACCCCCCCCTTCCATATCACCTTCCTACTATGAGCTTCCTCAGAGCAGTTTGCAAGACGTAAGCCTCACTGGGCTCACTCCAGGCAAACTCCCAGGCAAACTCCTGCTGTGAGCTGCTCAGCTGGTTCGCGAAGCTCTGGCTATTTTTAAACAGCCAGGCTTCCCTGATGCAAACAAACAGACACCCTAATGCCCGCCCCCTGCAGGCTAGCAGCCAATCAGACACTCACTCAGGCTCTCACACTGCCCTCCCAGCAAACACACGCTCGGATGCTTCCTCAGCAAGCAAACGAACACACACTCGGATACTTACCAGTCCCAGGCAAACTCCTGCTGTGAGCTGCTCTGCTGTCCCCCGCTGCTCAGCTGGTTCGCCGCCGCTCAGCTGGTTCGCGAAGCTCAACGGGTAGTGATCAATGGCTCCATGTCTAGTTGGCAGCCGGTATCAAGTGGAGTGCCCCAAGGGTCGGTCCTGGGGCCGGTTTTGTTCAATATCTTCATAAATGATCTGGAGGATGGTGTGGATTGCACTCTCAGCAAATTTGCGGATGATACTAAACTGGGAGGAGTGGTAGATACGCTGGAGGGGAGGGATAGGATACAGAAGGACCTAGACAAATTGGAGGATTGGGCCAAAAGAAATCTGATGAGGTTCAATAAGGATAAGTGCAGGGTCCTGCACTTAGGATGGAAGAATCCAATGCACCGCTACAGACTAGGGACCGAATGGCTAGGCAGCAGTTCTGCGGAAAAGGACCTAGGGGTGACAGTGGACAAGAAGCTGGATATGAGTCAGCAGTGTGCCCTTGTTGCCAAGAAGGCCAATGGCATTTTGGGATGTATAAGTAGGGGCATAGCGAGCAGATCGAGGGATGTGATCGTTCCCCTCTATTCGACATTGGTGAGGCCTCATCTGGAGTACTGTGTCCAGTTTTGGGCCCCACACTACAAGAAGGATGTGGATAAATTGGAGAGAGTCCAGCGAAGGGCAACAAAAATGATTAGGGGACTGGAACACATGAGTTATGAGGAGAGGCTGAGGGAACTGGGATTGTTTAGTCTGCAGAAGAGAAGAATGAGGGGGGATTTGATAGCTGCTTTCAACTACCTGAAAGGGGGTTCCAAAGAGGATGGCTCTAGACTGTTCTCAATGGTAGCAGATGACAGAACGAGGAGTAATGGTCTCAAGTTGCAGTGGGGGAGGTTTAGGTTGGATATTAGGAAAAACTTTTTCACTAAGAGGGTGGTGAAACACTGGAATGCGTTACCTAGGGAGGTGGTAGAATCTCCTTCCTTAGAGGTTTTTAAGGTCAGGCTTGAGAAAGCCCTGGCTGGGATGATTTAACTGGGAATTGGTCCTGCTTCGAGCAGGGGGTTGGACTAGATGACCTTCTGGGGTCCCTTCCAACCCTGATATTCTATGATTCTATGTCTACACAACAGCTGGGAGGTGTGATTTCTAGCTCAGGTGAGACATACACATGATAACCTCTGCTCAAGGTAGAATGCTAAAAACAGCCATTTAGCTGCAGCTGCATCAACAGTGGCTTGGGCTAGCCACCCAAGTACAATCGCATCTGACCTCCTGGATATGTGTATGGGTAACTAGCCTGAGGAAGCAGGATGCAGTGCACCAGCTGCCTCCCAGTTGGACCTTAGAGAAGGCACCTGGGAGAAGACAGTAAAGAGCAGATGAGAGGCTGGAGAAGAAGAGAGTCAAAAAGCAGCAGAGAATTGCCTGAGAGAAAGAGCTGTAAGAAAGCTCAAGGAGAGCAGTAACTGTGAGCTGCTGGTGATAAGTTCAAAGGAAACTGCTGAAGGACCCTGCCAAATTGAAGGAAAGCTGGTGCAGTGGCCCCTAGGAATGAGGGGAAGAACCAGCATGGTCCGTATAAGCTCGGCCCAGAAGTAAGGGTTGACTTCAGAGGGATGCCCTGGAGGGCAGGGTTAGCACTCGCAGGCAAGGAGGTCTGGAAAGTGTAACACTACAGGGAGCCTTTTGGCAGATGACCTGGAGTGGTGGGCTTCAAGAGGAGCCCAGGAGAAGGTTCCCCTAAGCAAGGGAGGCCTGGGGGAATTAAATTCTGTAGGGAGCTTCTTGTGGGAAAGCTGACTTGTCTTGTCCTGTAGCCCCTTGGGGGAGAAAAACAGTTCTTTGAACTCACGGGTAGGAGACCTGGAGAGTGAAGCCCTGGAACAGGGATGATGTAACTGTGACAGAGTGGTTTGTGACTCTCAGGTTAGTGATCAGGGATAGTGACCTCCTCATGGTATTCAAGACCTGCTGGGTTATAGCCTTGTTTTACTTGGGGTCAATTGTTTTGCAGGTTTTTTGGTGTTCTTGTGTTGACTGCAAGAGAAATGTGATGCTTTATATGACTAAAAGGGTTTGAATCTGTGATTGTCTGCTAATAAAGACAATATTCCTTTGTATGGGTGGCTGAAGAGGAAACTGAAGTAGGTGTATGGCTTGTTTCTTGCCTGCAATAGAAAGGGTGGTCCTGCCCTGCTCTGACACACCTACTGTGTTTTTCCTTTAGTCCTTGAATTAAACAAGAACACAAAACCTGCCGCTGAAAGAAAAAACTGAGCTTCACGTTGTCCAGGAGAAGACTGGAGTGGGAGTACAGAAGTAGAACAAATGGGGCTTTCTCTGGAGGAGCTGGCTCCCCAGTCTGTTGTCATCGAAAGCACAAACTAGATTAAGGAATCTCTAGGACCTCTCCAAGGTAGTTACTTTAATCTAATTTACCAGATTCCAGAATAAATGGTGAACAGGTGCTGAGGAAAGATTTAAGTTTTGAAGGAGAATTGAGCTCTCGTCCAGTTTGGTGCCACAGCTGATATGTGGGAGAAATAAAACTTGCTTTCATGCTTGTCTTTACTTATCTCTTCCGTTTACTTAATACTGCCTTTTGAGTCAGACAGCTTTAGACAGGCTCAAAATTGTAGTTTTTGTTGCATCTGTTTTTTGTTCAATACTGTGAAGTTAGTGAGTGGTTTTTCTGTGGATGTTATAAATAAACATACTGAGGATCCTGTGGCCTGCAATATTAAACTAGGAGAACATGGAGGGATAATTAGTCCTGTAATTAACTTCAGAAAAGTTTTTGGGGCTAGTTAGAACAAACGGGGTGTCGGGTTAGAGCAGGGGATTGAATGTCAAAAGGTATGGATTCTGTTCTCCACTCTGCCGAATGCTCAAAGTGTCACCTCAGGTAAGTAATTTAACTTATATCTCTGTTTCCGCATCTGTAGAATGAGTATATAACTCATCTTTGACAAGTGCCACGTAAAAGGCATTGTGCATATCAGCATTTCACAGCTTCTGTTGGAGCCCCATCTTGGGTTGGACTGACAAATGGGTGTGCCCCCTTCTTCACAGTGATTGTTGCCATCTTATTGTGTCTGTCTGTCTTCAGCTTTTCTATCTTTTTTTCTTCTCCCTCTCTCTCTATAACTTGTTTCCCTTATTTTTTCCATTCTTTTGCTGGCTCCTCTCTCTACTTCCTGCTTTGCCCTTCCTTTTATAGCTCCACTTCCCCCACTCATCAGATAGGTACATGGTGTGCCCTTGAGGTGAGACGTGTCTGTTGGTGCAAGCCAGTGCTCCACAAAATCTTGCCTGCTGCAGCTTCCTCTTGCAGCATTGTGTGTGAGTTTCTCCTGTGGGAGCAGAGAGGTAAAGTTGGCTGCCTTTTAAAGAGTAACCAGTTTTACCTACCGACACAACAGCACGTTTGAACAGAACCCACAGGGATCTGGGTTCGTGCAGTTTTCCCCACCCACACTGGTGTTCTGTTTTGCCCTATGTCTCTTCCCTTTCCTCCCTCTCTGAACTAGTTTTACTACCGCTCACATTGAGATAATCATAAAGATGTGGAATAGTACTGTCAAGACAATTTCTGTTCATGAAACTTTCCTCCATTGTCTCTTCCCCCTCCCCAACATGTTTCTCTGGAAAGTGCAGTGAAAGCAGAATTGGACTGATGAGTTTCAGAATTGCTGTATTTTAAATCTTTGAACATGGGGTGGGGGAAGTGATGTAAAGTGCTGGTAGTCTCCAAACTCACCACAGCATTCCCGCTCTACCATGCTGATCAAGTTGCTTTTCTACAGTGAAAAGCATAATCAGTCACTGAGATATCGTAAATAATCATTACACGCTTAAACATATATTGAAATGCATTCTTAGTATAAATTTCCATACTATAGTCAGAGAGAAAAAATACAGTCTGGTGTGTTTTTATTCCATTTTATAATCAATTATAACTGTGTTTAATTTAATACACATGTTCTTCTAAACAAGAAAAGCGGATCTACAACGTAGTCTTTGGTCTTTGCTGAATCCAGGCTGTAATAGCAGGAAGTGCTTGTACTCTCTCTTTCAGAGCCAAAAGTTTCGGGTAGTTGTCTGTTAGGTCAGGCTTAAGGAACAGAAGTGTAGTACTGCACACATCCCAGTAGAAATCAGCCCAGGTTACCTGGTGAAAATGAAAGGGTAAAACAAAATTACTCAATTAGTATATACAATCAAATAGCAGACCTATTAACATCAAAGACCTGGTCGATCCAAAATGAGGATAGAGAACCACACTTTAAATATGGGTTGGCCCCTCCTATGTTAGCCAGCTATATCTTGTTTAAATGATCTACAGGTTTCAGCGTAGCAGCCGTGTTAGTCTGTATTCGCAAAAAGAAAAGGAGGACTTGTGGCACCTTAGCGACTATTAGTCTCTAAGGTGCCACAAGTACTCCTTTTCTTCGATTTACAGTTACAGAAGTTATCCCCTGATGAGGTTACAATCAACTGCTTTTAGCGTAAGGTGATATGTTTAAATCCTATCCATGTGATAAATTTTTAACCATGTTGTAACTTGATCCAACTGACTTGATTTAGCTGTAGACAAGGATATTAGCCTAAACTGTTTAGAAATCATGTTTGCTGAACTGATTTTAAAATGTGGTTGTAAACCAGTTCAATTTATATTCTTTTTATATGTGGCTTTGGTCAGCAGGATGGACAGGATCAATCTATGCAAATTGACTTTTGAAATGTCCAGTGTCAAACCCTGAGGCTTTTAAGCAAAGGCTGGAATCATTATTTTTAACTCAGTTCAAACATAGGTTAGCTCCAGCCACGCTGACCAGCAGTGTTTAAAATGGTTTGGTTCAAAACTGGTTCAGCAAACGTGAGTCCAGGCCTGTGGGCCTGAAATTGTGAGGGTAGTCGGAGCCTGAAAGGGTGTTAGGAAGAAAAGCAAAGAATTAAAACCAACACACAACAAAGGATGTTTCTCAGATCTCTAGCTGCGAAGGTGAAAATTGTTTAATTTCCTCCAGTTACTTTGCTACAATGATAACTGGATTTGGAAGAGGGAAAAGAAGATACTCACAGTCTTCCCAACCAGCCACTTCTTATCCCCTAAGAAACTTTCCAAATCTCGTAGTAGTCCAGGAGCTGTATTCGTGAGGAGGTCATTAAATATCTGTTGCTGCAAAAAAGCACATGTAAGTGGAGAGGGTGGTCAAATTTGATCCTTCTATTTCTTGAGTGCACTGTTCTATGAAACAAAAAATATAGCATAAATAAGGGCTTGGAAAACTTCATTACAATGGAGTCATTTGATCTGATGAATGGGGCCGGAAAAATATTTACTGGCAAAATGATTGAGTAGTTGTACCTCTTTTGAGCGTGCAAGTGGGCACTGCACTATTCATTAAAGCTAACTGAGGAGCTGCCTGATATATTGATGTTGAAAAGGGCATTTTTGCACAATGTCCTTTTCTTTGGTCTGATGCTAATGAGCCTAACAAGCCTCAGTGAGTCCTCTGTCTTGATACCAGACACCTAGAGAAGAGGTGTGAACCCTCCACTGACTTGCAAGACCTGCACCTTGACATCAAACCAACAACTCGGTGATTTCACAGAAGCTTTTCCTTTGACGTCGGATCAGCAAGCTTGATGGGCTGAGCCGCTGGTCCAGCTAGGTCTAGTCATCTGCCTTTGGCCAACACCAGCCGCTGCAGAAGAAGGTGCAAGAAACTGCAATGGACCATTTTTGGAATAACCTGTTTGTAAGTGAAGTTCTCTTCCTGCTAATAGTTGGTTTATTACGTAAAGCATGCAGGTTTATATCCCTTTTGAATGTTATGCTAATATATCGGTGGATATTCTCATAAATGTCTAATCTTTTCTTGAACCCTACTAAGCTCTATGTTATGATAATATCTTGTGTACAATGTCCCACAAGTTAATGATGTTGGGTAAAAAAAATCTCCTTTATCATTTAAAAACAAGTTTAATTGGATATTTCCATACCACAGTAATGGGGCCTAAAACTTCCTAGATAAACCTTCCCCATACCAATCATTTTATGTCCCTCATGTCTCCTCTTATTTGTTCCACCCTGCCCCCAAACTAATATTTTCATTCACTCCTTATATGGTAGCCTTGAACAATTTTCATTGCTGATATTGGTAGTGTTTAAAACCGTGATACTCAGATTTCAGTGGTTCAGGAGCCAAATTAGCAACCAACATTACCCAAAAGACCCCCGTGTGTGTGTGTGTGTGTGAGATATGTATTATTCTCACAGCAAAATGATTGCCCAAGTATTATTATTTTATCAACTACAATTGGTTAATAACATAGTAAAAGCATCCTGACTGGCTAATAACTTAGGTTAATTAAATCAGTGTTTTAATATCGTGTGCTGCAAAGAGCCGCAAGAAACGCACAAAAGACCCACTGGCAGCTTGCAAGCCCCAGTCTGAATATCACTGCTTTAAAATAATAAAAGCTTGGGCTGGTGTAGAGACATGCATGGAATGGTTATGCGCCATTCCTGCTGTTTAGAACAATGAATCTATAAGAAAAATAAGAGTCAACTATTACGTACGTTCTATTTAGAGTTCTTCTTGCATAGTATATCAAATAAGATGTGTTACTGGGGTGAGAATTCTTTACTGCTTTGTTTAAAGATTTTTTGGCCAAGCAAAGCAAGGCCTTACACGCAACTCACTGGTATTTCTCTGTGTGTAATGCAATAACTTCTGAAAACCACATCTGCTTAATTCCAACGTTGCAGGGAATGTTCTCTGTATCAATGAGCATAATCGTATTCATTCTGGTATGCACAGCAGGGTGTACTCAGACTACATAAGCAACAAAGTGTGTGATTGTCATACAATGACCCCACCTGGAGCACCCTCATGCAACAGGCCACAGCGCAACAAGCATGTCTGCCTCAGTTTCCTCTCTCAGGTAACCCAGAGGACTCAACTTCAGGCTCTTTTGCTTAAATACTACTTCCCCTGGGAGCCAGTTCCTTACAAAGCGTAGTATAAATCAGCTCATAACAAAAGTCCCAAAACATAGTCTGTCAAGCCCCATACATATAGTCCTTAAAATCCTACACTTTCCAGCGAGAACCCGCACAGCCTTTATGCTGGAAGATGCTCTTTAGAACCCCCCCTCACTTCTCCAGCCCTGTCACCATTCCTCTGAGTCCAGCTCTTGGACCCTGAAGATGTCAGTGGAAAGCCCCTTCTCTGCTCCTCTTACTTTAAACAGTGTGGCACTGGCTGTCTGGCTTGAAGATGCCAGATAGCAAATCCCTTTGCTCTTGCTGTTCTCTTGCTGCTTCTTGGAACTCATCAGTCAGTTTCTGGAAGTTTTCATCTCCTGACTGACTCAATCCACTCTGAATCACTGAGCCTTTCTAGCCCCCAGGTACTGCCTTGCCCTTTTAATTGGCCAAACGGGAGCACCTGTCCTGGCACAAGGGCACTGGACCGACTTCGTTCACTGGGCCAGCCACTATGTGACCGCCATCGTCTAGTTTTACTGATTTTAAAGTCTTATCTTAGGTGTTTTATATGACCCCCATTGCTATAGTGTCTTTTAATATGGTTCTTCTCTCAACACCCCTGCGAGGTAGTATTATCCCCATCTGGGGAACTTAGGGACAGAGACACAAAATGGCTGGCCCAACATCACATGGGAAGTAGGAGTGGAACAAGGAAGTGAGCCTCCCAAGTCCCAGACTAACCACCTAATGCAAACAACATCAGATACCATGTATAAACCATCAAGTACAATATTGCACCCAAATGGCTAAATAATATTAGAATGGCCGTTTTGGGTCAGACCAAAGCTCCATCGAGCCCAGTATCCTGTCTTCCGACAGTGACCAATGCCAGGTGCCCCAGAGGGAATGAACAGAACAGGTAATCATCAAGTGATCCATTCCCCATCGCCCATCTAATAGCAAAACAAAAATGTTTCTTTTACATTACTTGCTACCTGAACTTGATCTGATGTAGCACAATAAACAATTATCTGATAGTAACATCTTCGTCTGGTCAACTGAAAACCTTACATATTTCCCCTATTCATGCTATCTGCTGGCCTTTTGTATTTTTCCCCATTTTCACAATGATAGGCTGTGAAGTCAGTTCAATTTTTGTTCTTGGTCTGTTTCACTTTCAGGTCTCAGTTGCTTCAGTGTTTGGTTGTTGCACCCACAAGCCAAGGAGGAACCAGGAGAACTTTCCCTATGCTTTCATCGCAGGAACAACAGAGCTTCCACATACTCCTCCTAATGGTTTTTTAATTAAAATTTCTTTCGCCAATGTATGTTGAGTCATGTCAGATTCCTGGGTTTTTTGTGACCTCTCAGAGGTTTGTAACTTGGCTCAGCACCTTCAACTTGCTGTGAATAATATCAAGAGGGACTGACTTTTGTGAGGTGATTGCTAAGTACCTCCTGCTTGGCAGATGTCAAGAGGCATTCCGATGTCATGTCACTGACTCAGCTGCTCTAGCTTCCAAAATGGAGTGAGAAATGTTTCTCTCAAAACCTTCCCAGTAGGCTGCAATCTGAAACCCAAAGGTAGCTAAGAGTTCTGCACGTGAGGAGGTCCTGAGATGCAGCCATAACACTGGCAGTCAAGGCCACTGACAAACAGAGCAGTCAGTGCATTACCTTCCCTTATATGTCTGACATGAAAAGGGCTGGTAACTTGGACTTTCAGAAGCACTCATCTTGAGCCAGATTTTTCCTGTATCATTTGTGTTAGCAGTTTAGCCTACTAAGCATTTTCATACTTCCTTGGCAAAGAGGGGTGAGGTATTGATGCTTTGCCTTATTACTTGTATTGAGTTGTTTAATAATTCTTATTTGATTCTTGTTGTGTGGCACCCTGCATGTGCCTGGCACTTCACAGAGCAAGTAAAGACAAGAGTCCTGTCCAACATTACTTACAGTGTTACACTCCTGGAATTCCTTCTTTCTCTGATGCGGACTTCTTACAAGTTTGAGAAGCTGCCAGTTAGGCTTACTTTTATGCGGTCTTCGCTATTTATAAGGACTGTTATAAGCAATTTCACAGGTTCACTATGTACTAAATACCCTGTGCTACCTCACTAAAATTCATTTCTGCTGGGTTGCCTATGGACCTGAGCTTAGTGATCTGCTCATTCCAGCCCCATGATTACCAGGTGCCTTCAGTCCCTAAGATGGTGGGAACCAAGTCAGGATGCTGAACCCTCTGCAATGTTGATGGACTCTTCCTAACTTCCAAGGCCATTCCACCACCCTCAGCAAGGCTGCTGCAACGTCAGCATTGGTGGGAGAACAGGTTGAAAAATCACAAATCACACAAATCACAAGCAGTAAATCAGGGCTTTTCATAGCCATCTTCAGTTTCTGGCGTTTTTTTTCTTTTTCCAACACATCCTTGCTGATAGCATTAATAAGTTTACCCTAGGGATATGCTGTTCTGCTATCATTTTTCAGGTGTCTGAAAGCTGCCTGGTTTTGTGCATCACAAAATGAATGTAATTCCATGCAGTGTAAAGAATTTAAATGTTGCAAATCTCTCACATTCCAGGAAGCTCAAAATTTTTTGTTACCGTAATTCCTAGGTTTCATTTCTACCATAAGATGGCAGCATCCCAACCCAAAATAGAAAAGTTTGGAAGGTGAATAGCGAGGAAGGGGGGCAGTGGCTAAAAGGAAGAAGGCTCATAAGATGAGTTTCTAAAGAAACAATATTCTAGCACTCCAATCTTTCCTGTGTCTCCTCTCCTGCCCGTTTCCTCCCCTCCTCCCCCGACCACAACTTGAGCACTGGTGCGTTTGTCTTTTTTTTAAACTGAATTTAGTGCTGGTGACATAAGCTTCACTGCTAGCCCTGGAGACATTAAAAACTCCAGCCACAAAACAGGTGCAGTATAGGCTAGCATCATGCAAATGTCCTTCGATTATTATGGAGGCACTGGTCACTTCAGGAGTTACAGCAAAAGTGCCATCCCCATGGTATTAAAACAACATTCCCCCTCCCCAAATGATTTTTAGAAAGAGTGGATTTGGGATTGAGGGCATTCTGCTTTCTGGGATTTGAGCCTTTTTAGGGTTCATGTTTTCAAGCACTGCTCTGCAGGAAACTTTTTCTTTAAATTGAAAGCTGTCTTTCTCACATAATCATGGGACTCCAGCTGGGGCTTCGAGGAAAGCCCAAGTATGAGACTTGTGATAAAAATCGTGAGAGCTGACAACACTTTGCGCTTTCCGGAGGGATTCAACCTCTTAACATACAAAGAATACAACGCTACCCTCCCCTGAAATTACAGCACTTCTGAGCACTGAATGAATTTTCTGAGAATTTACGAGTTGGTTTTTTTTCTATTTTGTGTTCACAAATGAAAATTTTTAGTGTAAAAAAAAAAAGAAACTACCAGATAAAAATCATGGTGAGGTGGAGTTGAGGTTGAGAGTACTCATCAGAAACTTAATAGTGGTAAATATTATAGGGAAGCTGTATCTCCAAGCATTACAGGAAAGCACGTGTTAAGGCTAGATTTAAAAGGTAACTGCTTCATAATCTTGTCTCCTTTTTTTCTGTCCTACAAATCCTCCCAACCATCCTCGCTCTGACCTGTGATTCTTCATATTAAATTGGCTTCACAACTGACTGGGACTGGATGGATGGAGCTGAGGGTTATATATTGCCCGGAAGACACCATTTTATACTTTGCTTCCACCATACGGCTAGCTGTCTGAAATAATTGGAAACTTCCCTTCTGTCCACTTATTTTTCAAACATGCCTTCCACCACTTATTCCCCCTATTTATGAATCAGTTCAACTTCCCCCAAACATATCTGTTCAGTTCAGTGTCCAGCCCTTCATGCTCTCTCTAGAGTCAGTTAGTTACCAAAACAAAAGGATACATAAAACGTTGCTTTGTTTCATTAGAAGTGCCAGGAGGACATCTTTAGAATTTATACAGCACCTGTCAATATTCATCCTGTAGCAACCTATATGTCATTACCATTGACATAATCTTGCTGTTCTAAATAACTACCCATGACACTGCACTGGATTAAGCCACTCTTTACAGCTTTAGAGAGAACAGAGTTTAGAGGCACACCTAACTGGGGTACATTCCCTAGTTAAGTCTTATTTCCAGAATTTTGCTTCAGGTGTGGATTTTGTCTCTTGCTCTCTTTGAGGTAGTTGGAATGCTATTAATGTTACAAGTTAGAGCAGAAATTGAATGCAGTTAGAAGCAAATGAAATTGATCTTAAATATATTCATGGTCATAGAACTGCACAGTGGGTATAGGAATTAATCATGTCTAACTGTCTTTTTTTAATACAACTTGTAAAGTTGTAATTAAAAACCTAGATTATGTTTGAAGTTAGCTGAGCAGAGCAGGAGCAAGGGGAGACAATACGTGCTTCCGAACACCAGAGGGAGTGTCTGTAAGTCAGAAGTACAGAAAGTATAGGATGGCATAGAGCTTTTAGAGTTAGTTAAATAGTAGAAATAAGAGTTAGATTCTTTAACTACTAGCCTGAATCAAAATACAACACCTGAATAGTCAGTGAAGTGAAAGAGTTTTTTTTCTGATTCAGCCTGTCCTTCCCTGTTTAATAATAATGTATTGATAGTTGGCATTTGTATAGATAGCACCCTCCATCCAAGATAAGCCAGGATGCTGGCCGCATCCTCCTCCCAACAGTGAGGAAAAGGGGGGAAGCAGAAATCCTTGGCTGGTTGCTCAGTAGCCTGGAGGAAGAATTGCAGAGGATATCTGCTGCCCAACTTATTGAGTGGCAGTGGAGCTGGGCAAGTGACCATGTGACATCAGGGACCAGTGTACAGGTGTCACTCTAGATAAGACACTTTGGCAGGTATAAATCTCTTTGATTTTAAATCAGTGATCACATTACTTTCACATCCTGATTTTTCTCTCCCCAGGGAAACATAGACATGAAGTCATCAGTGGTGTCCACAATGGCATCAACCAGAGCTTGTTCCAGAGGCGTCTGACCGGCCAGACCTGTGGAATTCAAATTTAGAAAGGGAGAGTAAAGAGACACTATCCACACGAATAGGTTATTCCTAAAAATAAGGTGTTTGTGCTCATACCAATGCAAACTTCAAATGCTGCAGAGCTTTTATCTATCTCTCAAGCTGCTTCTGACCCCTCACATCCAGCAGCTACCTCAGATCCATTGCTCTATAACTGAACTCATCCTCCTGCCTCCCTGCTCCATCTTCACTCACTGACAAGTCCTGTTCTTCCTGTCTCCCAGCCCCACGATCTTGTTGTAATCTCTGAGTCTTGCTTCCCCAGACCCTCAAAGCCTTGATACAATTTTTTTCACTATCATCAGACTCCACCCTTTCCTGTCCCAACTGCCAGGAATCGCATCCTCTCCTGGCTTTTGCCTCCTCCCAAAGTGCCTCAGTTGAAGTCCATTTCCTTCCTCTCCATTTCAATATCACCCCCTCTTTGAAACCCTCTTCCTGTGTCTTAATACATTATATTCATGTTCCTTAGCTTAACCTTGTCCCCTCCTACAGCTCCACTCTTACTCTCCCCCATTATATTCCTTCCACCTGCGGTCTTCCCAACCTTTTCACCTTACTCTTCCCTTTGTCTTCTTGTCCTACCCCACCATCATGCCCTAACTCAGGCTGTCTGGTACAGGCTCCTCCTCCTCATCTCACTTTGTTCCAGTTCCTTCTGAAAACTTCCCTTCAGGCAACCTCTTTTCCCTCCACCGATAATCCCCACACGCTCCTTCTGCTGAATTATTCTCTTGCCTTATTTAGATTTCAAGCTCTTCAAGGCAGGGAACATGCCTCTTTCTGTACACGTAAAGCCTTGTAAACCTACATCATGACATAAATGAGTCTCAGCAATAAAAGGGACATGAAATGTTGTTAGTTACTTCAAAATGATTAAATGATACCCATGTAAACTTAACAGGCACTGGAGATATATTTTCAATATGAACTGAAAGGCTATTTTTCAAAAACTTTCCATATATTTTTCTGCCAGAGTTAACAGCATCACTAGAACCTTAATCTGAGCTGGGCACTGCATCCCTCTCACTGCTTGGACTGAGCTAGGTCAACAGCTGTAGCAGGGAAAACTTTGAGACTCCTGAACTCAGGACCTAGTAGGTAAGTGAAGGAGAAATTGTTGTGAAATAATACATTTTTAAGGTGTACATTATTTACATGAAGGCTGGGATTTTTGAAGGAGCCTATTGCCAACCCCAAGCATTCAATTTCCTGAGTCAGTCCCCCCAAAATATGATGATGATTTAAAATAATAAATTTGATGTTCTTTCTATTTGCCTCTTGTTGGGTGGAGTGATAAGCTTGAAAATTTAATTCCTTATCTTCAATCCGTCAGGTCTAGAAACTGACTGCTTTAATGAAAGCTGAGTTCATCTAATCACTAGTTCAGGAGCTTGGGCTTTACGACAAACACCCAAAGCACAAGTTGGCAACATTTGAATTGAGTGTGATTAGGACACCCAATTCCTTTGGGTTGCTTTGGAAATCCCAGACATGTTTTTAAGTCTACTCTTCTGTCTTTATCCTGTTTGCTTTCATATTGATGGCAATACTGCAGTGTCTGAGCATTAAAAACACAACTACATTCTACTTTTACTTTCCAGCAAGTAAGACTAAAATGCTGGAATAGAATTAAAATTGAGGGGGCGGTGTACGTGCATGTGTGCGGGGCCAGGGGAGGAAGGTGTCAGGCATACAGTACTTACTGTGGGAGAAATAAGTTTAAGAAAGGAGTTCTACATTTCATTCTGACCATCGTCAGGTCACTCTTATCTCTTCTGGTCCTGAATTCCACAGCCAAGACCTGCTCTGTGAAAATCCTCTCTTCTGCCTGATTCCTGCTCCTTTCAGGTTCACAGATTCCAGCAAACCTTGGAGGTATATTGAATTCATTCAGGTCCAGCACCCAGAAGTTTCACTTTGTGTTTTGCGTTGACATTGACTCAAAAAGCAAATCAGAGAAACAGCTGAAATCATACAGCAAAACTCCTGGGGACATCCCCCCTCCTTCCGGAAAGTTCAGGCTCTCTTTATTTTTAGCTGCTAAATTCTTGGGGGAGAAGGAAGAGGTCAGTGGCTTTCAACCCTTCTCACATTGGTTTTCAGATGGTAGCAAGTTGGTCCAGTCTTCTCTCTGGTCCATTTTCTGATGGGAGCAGAGGGCATGTTAGCTAGTAGGCCAATTCTGTACGTTCGCCTTCAGGCGCAGGCAGCTTTCTAGCAGTCTGTTCCACAACATCTGCACTGGAAACAGTCCTATTTGTTTTTGCTGTAGCATTGTTGTTCAACTTTGGGGCTAAGAGATCTCTTAAGTGCATTTGGCCTAGGGAAATTGCCATGCTTGTGTCAGAGTATTGGGGGGAGAGCCATCTTCTGAAGACATTTTGGAGGGGAGAGACGTAGAAGGCCAAATGACCTCTCCTGCTCTCCTTAAAACTGCTCAAGTTGAGGGGAAACCTTGGGCTTCTGGGGAAGAAAGCGGTTATTGAAAGGGAAGGAGAGTTCTTGGCTGGCCTAGACATGTGGGATGTTCTGGGTTTTATGAAAATTTTGCAAGAGTTCTAATATGATTTATGTATGAAGAGTCTTCACATTTTAAGCAATAAGAAATGTCAAGACATGGATTGTTAGTTGATGTTTAAGATGGAGTTATAGACACCAGGTAAAAGGGTTAAATGCAAACAACACCAACTTGGGTACCTTTTTGCAGTTATAAAAGTTGTTTTAAAATGACTCAGAGGTTAGGTCCCTTGAACTGTATTGATTGATTCCTGGGTCACTTGATTTCTTCATCCCCTCTACTGTTATCCTCTTCACTTCTGAGTTATTGGATACCATGTGCAAAGCATGCCATATATGCCTTTTAGAAGTGTGGGGTTTAGTGGCAGCTTATAAAGAAAATGAGCCATGATTTGTGCTGTATTACATGGATGCCCACATAGAGCTAAAATTCTTACTAAACCGGGTAGATTATTTCATTTCTGCTGTCTACTTTGTAATAAACTATTGTGATGGGGCAAGGCCAGATGGCTATAGAAAAGCACTGGGAGATAGCTACATTAGCTCCAGGCTAAACAAATTCTTGGTACCAGGATAAGGTAAATGGCAGCTGCTCCAGGTCAATTAAGACACCTGGGGCCAATTAAGAACTTTCCAGAAGGCAGGGAGAATGCTAGGTTGATTGGGACACCTGAAGCTAATCAGGGGCTGGCTGAAACTAGTTAAAAGCCTCCCAGTTAGTCAGGTGGGTGTGAATGTCAGGAGCTGTGAGAGGAAGTTGCGCTGTTGGAGAGACTGAGCAGTACATGCCATATCAGGCACAAGGAAGGAGGCCCTGAGGTAAGGGTGACGTGGAGCTTGAGGAAGTGGGGGCTGCTGTGGGGAAGTAGCGCAAGGAATTGTACATGTCATGTTTCTAAAAGGTCAGCTACCATAGCTGATACTATTAGGGTCCCTGGGCTGGAGCCCGGAGTAGAGGGCGGGCCCAGGCTCTCCCTTCTCCCCCCGCCCTCCCACGATTAATCACTGAGACTGGGAGACAACAGAGACTGTGCAAGGGAGGATAGCTTCTCCTCTCCTCCCCTCCCTCGCTGGCTTATGATGAAAATGGCTCAGTGGACTGTGACCCTTGTCTCTAGAGAGAGAAGGGTTATGTGGAGGGTCACAGTGAGCCTCTGAGGCTAGCGAAATTCGCCCGCAGAGACAAGGACAGAGCTCTGTCACACTATACATAAGCTGAGTAGAAACTATGATCCTAGTTGCTATTCCATTCTGCAGTCATGCTTCTTTCCTTTTCCTGTTTGTATTAACCATTAAAATACTAGATTTGTTTGTTTTTGTTATAGCACTTTTTACAGTATCTAATATTTTGGCACTTTTTGGTGTTTTATGGATTGTACTAATGCTTCTCTCAAAATGATCCAATTTTATCAAACAAAAAGGAACTCTGCAGAAGGCCAGACTTTCTCAGGGAAGCAGACATGGGTAAAACTATTTTACTACATTTTAAAGAGTTTATTGTACATTTCTTTCAGACTGGAAAATGTAACAATGTTTGGAAACATTTGAAAAGGAAGATTACATCTGTTTGCTCACAATATGAAAGAGGCAACAGAAATGTACTACCAAGTTCCCATTATTCATTTGCATAAATTCAGCACACCCTGAGAATATCTTCCTTCATCTGTGTTAGTCTTGCAAATGGATTTGAATCATGGTTGATAACTCCTAAAACAAACCCTGGCTCCTGCAACTTTCATTATTACTGAAATTACTCGAGAATCTTACTTCATATTATCAAAGCAGCTGAGTAATCTCTGTCACAGAACATAGAATTTAGAGTTGGGAGTGATCTTATTAGGTGATCTAGCCTCATTGCCAGAGTGGGATTGTGCCCTAAGCATATTTTCTAAGTGCTCTGTCCAGGTTAGTTTAGCAGTTTCCTGAAACAAGACTTTCCAGCCTTGAAAAACAGTTGGAGAGTACCATGCACTTAGAGGACCAAGTCTAACCTCCACTCCCCACAGCACAAGAGCCCAAAATCCTAGCCTCATGAAATACAGACTACAACATCTTGGGAAACCACAGCTATCTTCTCCTTGTATCTGCAAAGTGAGGGCAAAGCTGTAAGATTTTTGTTGCTGGTAAACTCGGATAATAAGCAGTGTACTGATCTCTCAAGGAGATATAAATTCAAGCCGATATTAAGTTGTGTATCATTTATAGTTAATTTTTTAAAGTATATACATTTATATGCAAATTTGGATCTATCTAGAGTGACTTAAAATGTGAGTACCTTGGGCCTAGAGTTTATACAACAGGTACACTCTTGTCTGGCACCTGTTAATCCCCATGTAGTATTTGCATGTCCCTTCAACACTGTTGTCATAACCTTGTTGATGATGTACAGCTTGATCTTGTCAGAGGATGCTTTGACTATGTTGCTTTTGAAAAGCAGAGACAATGTCAGTTGGTTGGGTGGAAGCTGCAGTTGTTCTGAACTCTAACCAATTTAGTGGGGAGAATTTACAAATTTTATGTTTTTTTATTGCTGTAAAGGAGAGAAGATGGGAGTTCAGTATGGAATATGTCTGCATTGCAGATGCAACAAGGATTAGCAGAAAGGAGGGAAGTTATTTGTATTATTGTAGTGCCTACATATCCGAGGCAGGATTGGGAAGTCCACTGTGCTAGGTACTATATGAACACATATGAAGAGAGAGAGAGTCCCTGACCCGAGGAGTTTATCTTAATTTAGTCTAGTTTACTCGAGTTTTCTCCAAACTTTATATTGAAGTTGGTAGGAAAATCACACACTTATTTGTTATGCACTGATTTCTAACTGGATTGGATTCTGATAGTTCTAGAGTCCCACGACAAGGTGTGGAAGTCAGATTGCTTGAAAATTTTAAAACTAGACTGGATAAAACACGAGCAAACTTAACCTTAATTATAGCAGAGCTAGCATTCTGCTATAATACGTTGGAGAGAACAAGCAGGCATGATCAGGGAGCTGGACAATGGGATTGTAGTTTCTCTAAATTCTATGAAAGGCAGAAACCAATGCAAGAAGTCTCACTGTGCGAATATCTTTTTAACGTTACCCACACTGTAGCTGAAATCCAGGTAGCACACCCAGGTACTTGAACTTGATTTAATACTCAAGTTCTAGCATAGTTCTTCTGGCTGGCAAAGCTTGGGATTTATTCTGATATTTGCGCAGTACAAATGTTCCTTAGACTAGTCTAACACAGCTAATTGAAAACCATCCATCTCAGCTGCACTGGTCAGGAAACTGTGCTGGAGTTGTGATAGTAATGATCATAAACCAATCTCCCTATTGTTTGAACCATTGGATGTATTAACTCTGGGGCGGAGCCTTATTCTGTATGGTATAAGAATGCCTTTTTGCACCTGGTCACCATGTTTGGTTTGTTCCAATGGATGCTGCAAACGATTCTGTCAAGCACAAATTACTGTGTGTGCATCATGAGGAGCAAGATCTGTGCGCTCTCCTTGTCAATGCAGATGGCATAGCAGAGTTGCCCAACTCTGGTCCTCGTTGGAGGAGCACCTTTGAGCGTTGTATACCTTCCATAAGCTTTGTAAGTTTTTAATTATTTTTCTGGTTTCAGTTTAGTGCTTTTTTTTTTTATTTGTTTGGTAGCTGAGGTAGCAATTTTCTTCTTTGGTTTCCCTCTAGGATCCAGATATGGGAATGGTCCAAGCCCATATCCAGAAGGAAGACATCCCTCCAGGCGCCCTACCCAAGGTTCAGCTAACATCACATTGTCCACACATACTTTATTGCCCCTTGGGATAGTGGTGAAGAATGGGTGCTTGAGGCAAGGTAAATTAATTGGGAGCAATGGAGATGGAGGGGAGAGGGCCGCATTGGAGGTGCTATGGAAATTGATTTACACTGATAACATCCCACAGGACAATTATAGAAGTATACCTTGCCAACCCCCTTTCCCCTCAAAGATGACCTCCATATGGCATTTCTGGGTGCAGGGGTACTTTAAACCATCATTATCAACTGTGGAGATCTAGTGTAGGATATGACACAGGACCTGCAGCATCATACAATGCCCCTTAAATTTCTGTGATCAGATGAAATGAAGCTGCAGCAGGAGATGTTGACAACAGACAAATTTTGTCGCTCTGTGAAAACTACTTGTGCCTATATTGGCCTGTTCACATTGACTGCTATTAATTTCAGTTTGTCAGGCTGGCTCTTTGTTTGTATTGTCAACACACACTAGTAGGTAGCATTAAACACAGGAGCAGTCAAAAGTACCAAGAAAGTAGCAGTGTTACATTACCTGTTTCTTTGGCTAGGTATCTGGCTATGGCCAGGCTCTGATGAAGGGTAGCTCCATCCACTTCTAAAATGGGGATTTTTCCAAATGGGATAGCTTCAAAAAAATCACACATGAAAAACATTAGAACAATGTTAAACTCCACACCAGTGTAATAGTTTGCACTTATAATAGTGCCTTCCCTCTGAGAATCTCAGAGCACTTAACTGTTTCACAGGACCCCATAAGGTTCTGTTTTACACATGGATGAACAAAGGTCCAAGGTTAAGTGACTTTCCCAAGGTCACTCTGTGATGCAATGGTACAGCAGGGACTAGAACCCAGTTTTGTGTTCTTTTGACGGAATGTGCTACCTCAGTGTCTGAAATTCTGCAGATCCACTGGTACGCAAGGAGAATTTTCAGTAAGGTTTAATTTGCTAATATTTTCCCCTTCTAAGAGGATAGTCTGGCTCTCACTGACAAAGTGCCAGTCCAGGCTTTATAACTCTGGAGGAGTGAAGGCGGCCTGGTGGGGAGGTGGGCAGAGGCTAACACAGATGCTTTTGTTATGCTCTTATTGTTTAAAAAAAAATCATATTCACTGACTCAGGCATTTTTTTCTTCCAAAAAACACATTGTGGCAGGAAATACATCAAGCATTTCAGCTGACAGTACACCAGCAGAGGAACAAAGGATGCAGAAGGGTAAGGGCAAACTGCTTCTGACACCAAGACACAAACACCAAGTCTAATGCAACACATTATGACCTGGCTTCCATGTCAGAGACAGTTAGAAGGAAAAAAAAAAAAAAAAAAAGCAACTACAGGAAAACCACAAAGTCTGAGAAATAGGGAGGGAGCGAAGTTCTAACCAAAACAAAATTAGCATGGCTATTCTGAGAGAGGAGGGCTTAATCTCTGGCATCAACAGTGCAACTCAAATTGAGACGAGACCAGTGTTTAAAGAGAGTTAAATAAAAATGTCACTGGTCCAGTAGCATGATATACCTAGAAGCTCGGACTCATCTTTTGCTCTATCTAGGAGACTCCAGTGGGTTGGTACAAAGCCTTGGAGATGCAGTTAAGCTGGGAATGGGGAAAAACTAACAGGTAGCTGGGTGGATATGAGAGAGAAGGAGGCTGAAGTGTAAGATGAGTCAGTCCAGAGGAGGAGGGTCCCCTATCTTTCTGGATTTGAGCGACGGGGCTAAGGAGTTGAGATGGATCTTGTTCTCTTAAGGAGAGGGAGGGGGAGATACTAGCAGTGTGTACTCACCTGGCATATACTGACCACTATACTAGCCTTCAGTGCACTGAGGTGCAGCTCTCAATCTGTGAGCCACAGAATAAAATGTTTTGAGGACCAAGATTTGAGGAGTTACTTCTTTGGGGAGATGGTCCATGAGAGGATCTCCTGAAATGGTCTCTATGATGTAAAGGTGAGGGAAACCCTGTTCCTTAAAGAGTAGTGTGAGTCAATATTTAAAACAAAGACCTGAGAGTTTAGGGTGGCAAGAATCTGCCTGTGGGGAACTAACCACCGTTCTCTCATCTCAGCTACTGAAGGGATTATAAATTTCAAGCAGATGCTGTTCGGGCAAATTACAAGTGTACATCCGTGTTGATAATAGCAAGAGACACTGGGTCTGATTCTTAATTACACTAAGGCCCCTTAAAGTGACTGTAAATGTAATGCTGACAGACCCAGTTCGTTGGCAGGCAGGACTGAACCTGGGGCCTCTGGAGTTCGTGCATGAGTGAAAAGCCAACTGGCTGGTAGCTAAGGCTGTAGAGCAGACTGATTTAACTCATTCTAGGAGGTCTCAGTGCCACTAGATGAGACAGAACACCACACCCAGAGAAGGTGTGTGGGTTACATAAACATAATTTATGTTCATTTTGCAGCCCCTTTAATCTGTCAGAACAGTATAAAGAGATCATAGTGTGTAAATGATAATGGAATGGAATGCTAAACTACATTATACATTGAGCCACTAAGTATAAAATGCAGTACGTTTTGGGCAGAGCATTAAAGGCTCTTATGATGAACACATAAGCAAGCTCTGGCCAGTCCATATCTGGTACATAGGAATCTGACATGGTGTCAGCAGCAAACTAAGAACAGAATCAGAAAGAAGAGAGCAACAAAGGTTGCTGGATTCATCAGCATGCCACTCTTCAATGCCCCAGAGAACTTCAGCTTTGAAAACCTTCAGAATGGACAGACTGGAAAAAAGATTTTGTACATTTTTTTTCCTGCAAACAAACTCCATGAAGAAACTGGCAACATATAGGTGTCGTCTTGAATATATGCTATGGAAAAACAAGCAGGACCGTATCTTTAAATCCTTTGACGTCGTTGAAGACACTCACAAGGATGACTATGAAAGGGTTCTGGTTATGTTTGATGTATACTTTATATCCTAGAGAAACATGGTTTTTGAAAGAGCATGTTTTCATCAGAGAATTCAAGAACCTGGAGTAAATGTTGAAGGTTTTGGAAGATCTCTGCATACAATGGCTGAAAACTGTGATTTTGGGAATGCAAAACATGAAAATATCTGTGTGTGATTGGTTATTGAGTTAACAGAAAAAAACCTTTCATAGCAGCTCCAACTGAAGAGAGATTTAACCCTAGCCACAGCTATACAGATAGCAAAGTAGTCAGAATTAGTCAAACAACAGAACAAAAGGCAGGAGCAACTTGAAACACCTGAAACTACCACAGATGCTGTAAACAGGCCATTTAATGTCTAAGTCATTGTCATAAAACCCTCAAGGCAAGGAGAGAGAACCCCCAGGCTAAGAGGAATAAATTCCAGCCTACATGCACACTGTGTGGAAAAAGCTATTTCCCAAGAGACAATGCGTGTCCAGCCAGAGGCTCATGATGTAATACATGAACGAAATATGGACATTTTACCCCTGTTTGTAAAACCAAATCAGTCAAGGTTGTTGAGTCATATTACAGACAATCGAGCCATTGTTTCTGGGATCATCACTTGTGATTACATAGAACCAGCCTGGAGAGTGAAATTAAATATGCATGGTGAGACTATTGACGTTGAAATTGACTCAGGAGCTGATGTCACAGTGATCTCAGAGGGACTTAAAATCACCTTCAACCCCTCCAAGGGCTGAAGTCACCTGACATAGTTCTGTCTAGCCCTGGAGATATTCTGAACTGCATGGGCCAGTTCACCACAGAAATAACTTGAACAAAAGCTCTGCATTTAGAGGATATGTGATCAAAGGACCACAGATCAACAGCCTTGTCAGCCTCAGAGTGACAGCCATCATGGGCCTAGTGAAAACAGTGGAAGAACTCGATGGAATGTTTAGTGACCGTGGACTTGTGAAAGGAGATCCAGTACAAATAACCTTAAGAGACAGTGCTGAACCATTTAAGTGTACATTGACCTGGCAGGATTCCTATTCCACTACTGCATAAAGTGGAAAGTGAGTTGAAGACAATGGAGTGGACTGGCATAATCAAGAAAATCTGTGAGCCGACAGCATATTATGCCCCAGTGGTGCCAGCTATAAAGAAAAATGGAAAAATACAAATCATTGTGGATCTTGAAACACCTAATGAAGCAAGAGAAAAATATATTCTCCCAACACTGGGTAACTTCCTCCCCAAAGAGAGAGAGGAGCTATGATATTCTCCAAGCTGGATGCCTGGATGAGATTCTGGCAAATTTCTTTAGCCAGTGAATGGAGAAGCTGAGAGAGCTGTACAGACAGCCAAGAAAATCCTTTAGCAGGAAGATCCATTCCTTGTTCTTCTAAGTTAAAAATTAAAACCAGTAGTGACTACTGGACATAGTTCAGCATAATTCCTGATGGGAAGACAACACAGAGCTACTGTTCCAATTTTGGAAAAGAACCTATTTCCTAAGTGGCCAGACATGAAGTGAGTAGCCAAATCAGATAAAAAGGCTGAAAGAGTTATGAACACTTGTACAACAGACATCACCCAGTTAGAGAACTGCCAGGTCTAGAGCCTGATCACCATGTTAAACAAATGGGACGGTGAAGAAAGATGGACAACTCCATATGTTGTGAAGAAAAAGAATTCAGCACCCAGTTCATATGTGATTTTAGACCAGTAGTGGAGAGTTCAAGAGAAACTGTGAACATCTACAGTTTGTTCCTCACAGAGAACACTCAACAGAGCAAACTCTAAAGATGGCAGATGCAGAAGAAGACTACTCAAGGATACAAAACCGACCACAGCCAGTCCTTGCAACTAATGGACAGCCAGATGACCAAGTTGTTATGCATTCAGGTCATGAAGTTATGAACGATTCAGAGACACTCAACAGAGTGATTCATACTGAACTTAAGACAGTGTGATCGTGTAAATACTGCAAATGGTAGAAATATAGGACTTAAAGGGGGAGATCGAATGGAAGGCTAAACTATACTGTGCAGCCACTAGGTGGCACTGTGTATAAAATACCCTAGCTTAATGAATCTCAGCCAGACCTGGCACAGCATTTTGATGAATGCATCCGGTGTGTGCTTAAGCAAGCTCTGTTGCCAGTCCATATCTCATACAAAAGAACACAACAGATAATCTTGCTGCTTGTAAACAGACAAGGCATGTTCAACCCCTGGAGAACGATCATCATTAAGTGATAGCTGGTGTGGCATTTTTATTCTATTGAGGACCTCTCAGTTACTCCCAACACTAAAGCCTTTTCTACAGGAGAAAATCATACCCTTTTTCAAAATTGGTTTAGTTAGATGGGTGCAGTCTCCTTGGGTGAATGCTCTAGTTTGTTTAAAGAGTGCCTTACATGGATTTAGTTTGGGATTGATTTCCTTCTGACTTAAGCTGAATCAATAAACACCATGTCACATAGTCCATACGCAAGACAATAGGTGGACAACCCACATCAGTGACTGGATCCCCAGAGACCACAAGTGACCCCTGGGCAGACTGAAAACGTACTGGACTGATCCCATGACAAAACTCTCTGGAAAGAACATGCTCACAACAAAATGGAATGGTGTGGCATTGACTTGCGTTTGTGGAGTGGTGGACGAGGACAAGCTGGACAAAGGTGAATATACACCAAAATAACTGTCCACATGCAGGGTTTGCACT